GTGGGTCTTAGCTGCTCCTTCTTAATGGGCTCCCGGGGCCCTAATAAGCCTGCCTGCCTTAACTGGTTCTAGCAGGTTCCTGATTACTCTAGCAGCCCCTGCTCTGGTCACTCAGGGAACAGAAAACTACTCATCCAGTGACCAGTATATTTGCCCTCTACCAGACTCCTGTACCCCACTGGTCTGGGTCTGTCACACTACATACCTACATGACATGTTAAATGATGTTAGGAAAAATACATTGTTTCGGACAGTTGTGAAATTCAAGAAAAAATGTTGAGGTACAGTCTCACAGTGAAAATCTAATCTTTTTCCCTACACTTTTCTTTCTTTTAGTAATGTGTATATTTCATGATTATTGATACTATGAGTTACACCTATCTGTTCAATACCAAATCTTGTCCGCAGTTGGTGCGTGAAAGCTCCTAGTGAAATCATCAACAGTGAAGGGTGTCAGAATTCGTCCCTAAATACATTACGTTTTTAATGTATTTTAAAGGGATTTTCCTGATTATTATTTCCTTCAAATAATGTAGTAATAGGTAGAACTTGTTCTCTTAGCTAATAGGGAATACCAACCCAATGCTATATGGTGTTTTTCCTTTCAGCAAATAATTAGGAACTTTTATCATACTCCTAAGTAGCATACTCCTAACCAGCTGCCAATGGTGGGTTGGTAGCCAATGGTGGGTTTGATCTCTGCCACACTGGATGCTGGTCTCTGAAGGGCTGGAACTGCCTGACCCATGCTCAGCAGTTCAAAGACTCCCTTTGTGGGGAAAGGCAGTTAATCAGAGACTCCCTGGGCTGTTCTGCCTCACTCAGCTCCCAAACACAAAGCTGAAGCAAAAAAAATAATCAGGCTGTCCCCTCCCACTGAGGTTCTGAGCCACTCTGGTTCATCATTGGCCCAGCAAACTGCTTGTCCATATTGTGCAATGCAGAAGTCTCGCTATTGGCTTCAGCAGAAGTCAATTCTACCCTCACCCCTGACTTTAAGCATACTGGGATATTTGAGAGCTCTGGTAGCCATTATTGTGTTGTTCATAGAGTAGGACACCTAGAGGTTCAGTCCAGAGTTCCAGGAGCTGGGAAACTCCAAGTGGAGTTTACACTGAATAGTGCCTTTCTCTTCAATAAGCTCCACAGAAATCAGTGGGACTTTTCACAGCGTAAGATGTTACTCATTTGGATGAGGGTGACAGAATCCAGCCCTAATTTATTATCATCATTATTATATGTTATTAAAGTTCCTTGTTGCTTCATAATATTTTCACTTTATCATGTCTGCAAATTCTCAATACAGCAAAATGGAAGAAAATGTCTGCTAGTTTTATTGTATTTATTTGCTCCTAATGATCGAAGCATAACACAGATCATAGCATGAAGTTTATATTAAAGAATCCCATAGTATTTCAGCACTGGCAGGCACTAAGGCATTTGTATGGGATAGAGTGAACAATTTCAGCTTGTTCATGTTTGAACTGTGGCACTTACTTGAAGAAATGTAGATCATCTGACAGAGCTAGTCTCCAGCACAATTCAGAGTGTTTGTAAAGTGATGACTGTAAACTAAACTTACAGTTTAATAATTTTGAGCCAGATTCTTCCGCCCCGTACTCATGTTAAAATATAACTTAGTCTGGCGATAGGCCCATCAAAATCAGCATGAACAAAGGTGGCACAATCTGGCCCTCATTATTTTATTGCTTACCGGGCTACAGAGCAAGGTATTTGACTAGTTTAAGACTCAGGAAATGTTGATTAAATTTTCAGAAATGTTTATAAGCCTGTATTTCATGTACTCTGTGCAGACTTCATTAGAGTCAGAGCATGGGAATTCTCCACAGCACGTGTTAACGATTGTGTTGAATATTTCTAGCTATCATCACTTACTAAGGGCTAAATGGCCTGTTAGGCACGGTCCTGCATTGTGAATGGTTCAGATCCACACCACCCCAGGAGGAGCATAGGGAAGCATTATGCCTCAGACAGACCCAATGCCTCCTGGAGCTCCCTGGCTGCACTGTAGAGGGAGTAATTTTCCCTTTAAAGGGCACAGTTTACTTCCTCCTGTGTGGCTGGCTAGCCAGCCAGGTGTACTGACCAGGTGGCCTGAGGGCAAGCCCACAACCTTGGAGTCCTTACCCACAACATTTATTTCTCCCCACTCTGGTCTTCCCCAGCAGTAGTGAGGTAGCAAGGACAAGGTATAGGTCTGCCCCACATCTTTGTACAATCAGTGGATCTGAGACAATCCTCTTCCTCCTCACTCCGTGAAAGCAGATGAAGAGTGAGGCAGCCTGCTAGAGCATATTTATACATAGATGTGAGCCTCATTTGTTTCTCTCTCTCACGCAGGATCCATCTCTGAGTCTCGGCTAATGTCACAAACTGGATGTGGCCATTTTTTTCCCCTTCACCCTGATTCCTTTTCACCGCCGTAGCCTGGGAGGATAACGTAGCCTAGTCACAGATCTATGTGAAAGTGCTTGATATGAATCTCAGTGTGCAAGCCCTCACTACACCAAGATGAGATTCACCTCACCCAAATGTGTCCTCAAACTTGCTTCACTCCATTGTAGGCATTGTTCCATGGGCCGTGAATCCTGACCTTACAGCTCTGTGAGCTGTGGCATATTGTACATGTGTGGTATCATCCTCTAGACCAGGAGCCAGAATCCCCTAGACCAGGAAGTCTAGAGAGAGGAGAATTTCAGAGTAATTAGTTACTGGATATTGACCCAATGCATGAATTAATTCATTAATATTTTATACATACTCCCAGAGCTGTGGGTGGGCACATTTTAAAGAAATCTAAATAACTTTAAATTTTTGCACTATAACCTGCTGTGTTGTGCAGCAATTCTCTTATATTTTGGTGGACTATGTAGCACTATCACTGTTAGTGTTAGAAAAAGCTATGAAAACAACTTGCTGCCAGAAGATGTAGAACAGCACCCATTCATCAAAGTCAGCCTTTTTTTTTTAAACTGAATCATCACCAGAGTTTATATTCCTGTGTGATAATGGAAAGCCCTTCAGTGACACTGATACCTAATATTTTTATAATGCTGCTAGACTGTGTTTTTTATAGTGTATTTCATGCCTGACTTAACAAAATGCAAAATAGCATGCTTTGAGGTGCACATCACCGTGTGCTATAGATTTAGGTACAGCTTTAGCAGGTGTACTTCTTTTCACCTGGAAAAATCATTTAATATTCATTTTAACATTTACATTACTCTGCCCAAATATGGCTTACTTTTATTTAGTGCCTCTG